GCCCCTAGCCTCATCAGGTTTACATTCTAATAGAGCAGAGGCAATAATCAAGTCATAATCACATTATTATTAAAGTATTTATTATTGTCATAAAAGAAACAGGGAAAGGAGAGTAGGAGAAAAAGGTGGAGGTAACAATATTCGACAAGAAATATACACATTCCCTTACTCATGTAACTGTAACCCCTTTGCATAGCATCTTTACAATAAAATAAAATTAAAAAAAAAAAAAAGGAACAGGTGCAGAAGTAGGGATTAATAGGGTTAGGAGACTTTTTAGACAAAGTGTTCAGATAAGGCCTCTCTCAGAAAACAATGCCAAGCTATTTCCTGAATGATAAAGAGCCATTATTAGATCACATTTTTAAAGGAAACTATAAAAAAATGTTCTCCAAGGAAACAAAAACAAAAGCTAAGAAATGAGAGTCTGGAATCCAGAAACAAGGAATGCTAAGGATCCACCTAAACAATGGGCAGAGAAGTCAGCCAAGTTAGATTATGGCAGGAAGGTAGCACGCTCTAGAGATGTATTTCCAGGAAAAATTACAAGTAACTGATAATTATATGGTAGACCTATGGTGAACATAGAGAATAGTAAAATAATGCAAATATTAACTCGAAGAAAGAAAAGAAAATGGAGTATCATGGTAAATCAATAATTCAATAGTAAATTGAGCCAATCATAACTTAAGCACTGCTATTGAGTGAGTGTGTGTGTGTGTGTGTGTGTGTGTGTGTGTGTGTGTGTGTGTGTGGTGTGTGTGTGTGACTAAACTAGTAGCGGATATTTACATCATGTTCCATGTCCACTTTTTCATCCAGTCATGAACCCAGTAACCGTTACTTCCCATAATCTTCTTTATTTTCAACCCATTTTAGGCCTACTAAAGTTCATGTGAAAAATAGTGCTTTAATAATGCGAAGATTTTATAACTGAAGCCTGTTTGTTACTAATGGTTTGCCAAAAATGTCAAAATTTCCAGTGCTCTCATCTAATTACAAGCCACCTCAGAGAAGACATTTACAAATTATGTGTAGTATCTAATGTTTAAACATGCAGCCAATAATTTTATTTATAAAATTAAGGTTATGGCATCTCAAGAATATTTCTGGAATTCTAATTAACACAAGCTAATGAATTGAGTACAGGGGCCAAGGACGCCATTTAAAAAACTAATGAAAGGCCAACCGGACATAATTATCCTTGAAACCAAGAGCACTCAAACAACCAGAGCTATTTTAAATCATGTGACAGTGACATGGTATACAGAAAGAGGACTTCATCCATTTAGAACAGTGCTACAGACTGAAAGCTTTCTGAGAGCAGAACTTTTGCTTTGTCCCCATGTTCTTCATGGTTGTCAGAGTTGTTCTGTGTCAGTTGTGCCCTAAATGCTTGCATTTAGTCCCTGAACCTATCAAATACCAGGTACACATAATCTTAATCTTCTGAATCTCCACAAAAGCTATAGACTTTCCTTCTCTTTTCCACCCCTTCATTTTCTCCATGCCCAATGGATAATTCATGTCACTTTATACACGATATAAAATCCCCGGTCCTTCACACACACACACACACACACACACACACACACACACACACACACACACACACACACTACTTCAATTCTAACCTCTTCTCCAATTTTCTTGCCAACTATTCGTAAATATTCATCTACACATGCTGCCTCCAATTCCTTACCTCCCCTACACAATTCACACCTAAATAAGTTTTCTACATACCACACCTCCTTGTCCTTGCCAAGGTAGCCAGAGACATCCATTTAGTAGGTAACATTTTTAATCTCTTATTCAAATTATCCCCAACAGTTACACATTCTCTCCTTCTTGACACTATTCTCTCTTGACTTTCATATACCCACATGTCCTTGCTATGACAATCACTTCTCTGTTTAGACCTTTTATTCCCCTTTAGATCTCTAGAGCCTTCATATTCTGGCCAGACTCCCCTAAACATGGAGCTCTCAAGTCATTCCTCTATTCTTTAGATTCTTTAGTGTCTTTAGATACCACATATATATGACTATTGATTCCCAGTACACTATCCTGCACCTCCAACTGCCTGCTTCCAATTTGGTTCTACACAGATATCTCACATTTCATATGCCCCCAAATAAACTTTAAAAGTTTTCCTCTCAGTCTTTAAAGTCTCTACTCTGTACAAAACAGAAACCTAAGGATGATGTTTTGTCTCCCAACTCCTTGCTACACCCAGAAATTCACTGGACAAATTCTGATAATTCTACCCTCATATAATTCCTGACTCAGCCAGTTTTCTCCATCTTTTTTTGCACACATCTTCTATAGCAATGTCTTCTATCTCCAGAACAGTTTACTGCTAATCTGTCTCCATAAAGACAGCCTTCTGTCTCTTAACTCCGTTCTTGAAATCTAAACAAGACTATAGAGTTTCCCTGCTTTGTCAACTTTTGGTTGTGCCCAAAATAAAATACAAATTCCTAGTCCTGCATGATCTGCCCCTTGCCTATCTCTGTGGCTTCCCAGTGTACCACTGCCTATCATTCCGCAATTTGAGTTTGCCTTCTGAATCCACCAAGCTCTCTTTTACCATAAGATCCCTGTACACATTGCCTAAATCCATCCCATTTGGGAAGATTTTACTGAAATTGTTATCCAACTTCATTATTGCTTGTGATTTACCTATCATCTTACTTCAAAGACCACTCCTGACCATCATATATGTACATTTTTCATTATCCTCCAGCTCTATAACTATTTTTGTCTCTTTTAACCTCATAAATTAACTAGTAATCATTCATTTATCCATTTCATTCTAAATATTTCATTGTTTATTTCAAATACCCTGGGGCAGTCTATAAACCAGATGCATGTACCAAATTAGGAAATGAATATTACAACATATGAATATACTCATTATTAAAATTTTACCAACTTAGCACTAAAATCAGTGGATGAGAGTTTGATGGCAAAAAAGATATTTAAATAGATTTGATATTTTCTCTAAAGATACTATAAAGTTACACAGAGACAAAAAAATATGCCTTTACAATGGAGAAATGTAGCAAACATCACCTTAACAAGGAGACTGCCAACATCATCTCTAGTCAGACAAATTAACACCTACATTTATATGACTGCATCACTCTTGTATTAGCTATATCTTTCCCATCATATGCAAATATTAACTCTAAGCAGGAGGAGATAGCAGACAAATTCAGGCATATTCCAGGCATAGTCTATAAAATAACAGCTCTGTGTTTAGTAATAAAAAGTCATAAAAAAAAAAATCACAGGAGGGGGCTGGGAAGATGGCTCAGTGGTAGAGCACTTGCCTTGCATGCATGAGGCCCTGGGTTTGATTCCTCAGCACCACATAAGCAAAAAGAAAAAAGCCGGAGTGGCGCTGTGGCTCAAGTGGTAGAGCACTAGCCTTGAGCTGAAGAGCTAAGGGACAGTGCCCAGGCCCAGAGTTCAGGCCCCACGACCAGACCCCCCAAAAAAAAAACAATAAAAAAAATCACAGGATAGTCCAAGGGAAGAAGACTACGAGAAATGATAATTAAATGCAATAACTAATCTTCAATCAGATCTGGGATTGGAATTGTTTTCCTGTTCTTCAGTTTATTCTCTTGCTCTTCTCTGCCTTTCTTCACCACAGATGGTCTCCTGTGGGTGAGGAGAGCACAAAGCCACCCAAAAGTATTTCAATTCAAAGGAAATGTCATATTCTTAGTTTTTGAAAAGATCCCTCAGAAATGATTTTCTCCCTCCCCCCCAAAAAAGATAGGGCACTGAAAACATGGAAACAAATTGAAATGTAGATCAGCAAGTGATTGGCAGGTGAGTAAAATAATCTTGAAATAACAGTTTAAAGAGTGACAGGAAAGGATTAAAAAGTGTCACGTAGCTGGCTGTCAATGTCTCATCAGCTCTAGATTGGAATGTGAAAGAAATAAGGAAAAATAAAGGTTAAAAATTGCAGAATGCAGTCACAAATAAGGTTTCAGCAAGCAAGTTTCTGTGAATTTACCAGGAGAAGTAGACATTGCTATCACAATAATTCAGGGAACTTGGGAAAATAAAGGAGGAAGATGTCAGGCAGACTAAACTGGCGTGGGCCAGTAAACCTGGATGCTTACCCTTCCCTCTTCCCTTTTCCGGACTCCTTCTCCCCAAGTTCTGAACTGTGCTGATGGCACTGACAATCTTTGTTCAGATTCTCATAAACCAAGAGAGGAGCCTGGATGTGCAATTCAAATCTGATGACACCTTCAAACGAATGAATGATGCCTCTTGGGACTCATGCCAGATTTAGAATTTGCAACCTGTCGTTTATCAATTAAAAAAAAAAAAGTTCAGGCATAGAATTGCAAATTCTGGAACGGAAAGAGGAAACTGAGATTTCCTGGATCATTTCACTTGTCTTCCCATCTTCCCAGGTGAAAATACAAGAGATTCAATGACCTAAATTACATTTAAAAACTCTTAAGCTGTACAATGCTTTGCTTACAAAAAGAAAGAGAATAGAATATCATTTATTGTTGTCAGTTCTCTGGTGAACTTAACTTCCCAGAGGGAACACAATTTGAAATAAAACTCGTCTCAGGTGCATCAGTTTGACAAGAAATTATCAGCAGCCACATTAATAATACATGAGAGGCTTACAGAACAAGAAATTGAAAATAGGAGTGGAAGTAGGGAAGATTCAGCATTTGGGCAGCATGAATTATTTTAGGACTCAAGAAACAGTGAATAAACTGTGTTGACCATTGTGTGCTCTACTCAAAAAGCAATAAACAGATACACACATATGACCTAAACATTCATGCCTTAATAGATTCATTAGTATTTAAAGTAAAATATTAATGAATCAATATAAATACCATTTTGTATTGGAATATATTTGAAGATATGTATAATTTTAAGAAAGAGGGATGGTTTTTAAGGCACTCCTATAATATTATTTTAGTTTTTAAAATTCTATAAAACAACATTGGTAGATAGCCAATGGATCTGCTTACATAAGTGGGTTTATGAAAAGATTTCAATAAAGCTGGTAATAATAATGCCATGGTACAAGCCTGAAATCAAAGTCATTAAGGTCCCTGAGAGTGGCTACAACAAATTTTAATGCTGGGAAGCATTTTGGTAAGACTTCAGTACTATAAATAATGCTAAGAACTTAACTGAAACATCAAAACGTTAATAAATTGCATGTAAAAAAACTACCCTGAACATTTGTAAAGAAAGACAAGACTGACAGTTTCCCTAAGTTAAACTGGTCGTGGGGACATTTCCAGGTCTGCGTTGCAGTTTTGCCTGCTTTTTTGCCATGATCATAAAAGAAAAGCTTGACAGATAAAAGAAAGCAGAGCAATGCGTGCTATAGACCAGTTGAGGCATTGACTTGAACTGAATTGCAAGAATCAAATCTGATTAATTGAATTGAAATAACTTGATTTGAGTTAACATTCCAAGCAATTAAGCAACGCTTTAAACTTTGACTATAGAAGAAAATAATGTGAAATAGAAAATTAGATAAGCCCTAGTTACAAAGCCAGGAAGATTTTTTTTAAAAAGCACTATATAAGAGTTTACCAGGAGTTCAGGGCATAGCCTGGCAGGCTGGCGGACAACTTTCCCAATGGAGTGCTCTAGCTAGAGATGTATATGTGTGCAGAAAAGGGCAAAGCTTTTAGGGTGTGAAATCATACACACCAATTATTATTTTGTTCGTGTGATTATTAAATTGAAAGTATCTATTCCTTGAGTGATTGGTAGCATTTGCCTGTAAAGGCATCCTAATAGGCCTGGTGCTTTTCTTGTTGAAATTATTTTAATTACAAATACTGTTTCATCTGCTTTTTTTTCCTTTTTTTTTAAATAAGTTTTTTATTGTGAAACTACTGTACAGAGGGCTTCTGCTTTTTAAAGGTGAAGATGACAAAGGTGGATTTTTTTCTCTTTTATTTAGCATATGTTAATGATTAAAAATAGTGGGTTTCATTAAGATATATTCTTTTTCCTTTTTTTTTAATTATGCCAGTCTAGGGGCTTGAACTCAGGGCATAGGCAATGTCCCTCAGCCTTTCCTGCTCCAGTTTAATGCTCTACTCCTTGAGCCACAGCTCCACTTCCAGCTGTTTTGGTGGCTAATTGGAAATAAAAGTCTTGAGGACTTTCTTTTCCAGGCTGGCTTCAAACCACCATCCTCAGATCTCAGCCTCCTGAGTAGCTAGGGATTACAGGCATAAGCCACCAGAGCCAGGCTTATGTGTATATAATGTACTTCAATCATATTCACCACTACGCCAATTTTCCCTCTCTTGTCCCCACCCCCACCCTCTCTGCTGGTCTTTTTCCTCTTTCCAAATAGCTTCTTTTTCTGTTTTCATGTCTTTTTTTTTTTTAATGATGATTTTATCTTTCTTAGTCTTGCATAGTTCATTTAAACTAATGATATCCAGTTCCATCTATTTTCCTCCAAATGATGTGATTTTTGTTCTTTTTATGGTCAAAAAACATGCTAAATTTTAAGGCCAAAAATACTCTATTTTCTTTATCTATTAATCCATTGATGGATACCTAGACTGCTTCCATGAGTTGACTGTCATGACCAGTGCTTGTGACACACATGGATATCAGTATTTTCATGTGTGCTGACTTCAATTCCTTTTGGCACATACTCAGGAGTGGTGTAGCTAGGTTTTTTTTCTTCTTCTTTTACTTTTTTTTTTTTTTTTCAGAAATGGGGCTTGAACTCGGGGATGGGAGGGTTAGCACTGCTTCTAAGCTGTCTAGCACTCTACCACTTTGAGCCACAACTCTACTTCTGATTTGCTGGTAATTAATTGGAGATAAGAGTCTCTCCGACTTTCCTTCCTGAACTGGCTTTGAACCAGGATCCTCGGATCTCAGCCTCCTGTGTTGCTAGGATTACAGGTGTGAGCCACCAGTGCCCAGCTCTATTTTTAGTTTTTCAGGGAACTACATACTGATTTCCATAGTGTTAACGCTAATTTAAAATCCCAACAATTCTTTCACCATACTCACCAGCATAAATGAGATATTTTTTGTTTTTGTTTTCCTTATGATAGCCAAGCTAGTTATGATGAGATAGAATCTCCATGTAGTTTTGGTTTGTGGTCCTCTAGAGATGGTAAGTATTGTTTTTCTAAGGCTTCCACTAATTCTGGTGGAGTTTTTTGTTTGTTTGTTTTGTTTTGTTTTGTCAGAATTCTACTCATTGCTGAATTGGTTATATAACATGTCAGTTCAAAGTTACTATCAGTTACTTTAAGAGTCCTTAAAGTTAACTGGAGTGGGTAGTTAAAATATATTTTACATTTGGTCAAAACAGTTGACCCAGAAAGTTAGTGTAGACTATTTTAAGCCATTTGCGGGGTGGAGGGGAATGTCTCTTTTCCCAGAAGAAACTTGAAATTACAGATCAATTTAATACACATTATTAAGTCAAGAAGGTATGTGCTTTGTATTTTATGGACTATATTCCAACTATAACTTTTGCACTATACCCAACAGAAATATGATATTTAAACTTTCCAGAGGCACTGAATAAAATGTAAAGTTAATTTATCCAAATCTGGCAACAAGCTGAATTTGAGAGACTATACATGAACAATTACTTTTGTATCTTAGCTTCCATCCCCAGCATATGTACCTGGTATATTCTAGCAAATATTTGTTAGATTAAATTTAATTAATACAAGATATTGATGGTAGGGGAAGAAAGAGTCTATAAAACTTTTTTCAGAGTCTGGTTAATTGTGGTAATTATTTTCTCAATACATTTATAATTTTATCTAGTTAGCATTTAAATTAAAAATAAACAGAAAGTCATTAAATTTCCATTTGGGAAATAACATCTCACTCACACACATGCATGAATATATTCTCTCATACATACATACTTGTCCTTGGCATCTTGTTGTTGAGAAAAATGAAATGTGTCCATTTTCAAAGTGGATTAAATGGGTTTGGAAATGTCACTTAATGTATAAGCTAGAAGAAAATTAGTTTAGTCATTTAAATTCACACAGGCTGAAACACTATTAGTATTATTTGGTTGGTTTGATTTTCAGTACTAGGGATTGAACTTGGGCTTGGGCAAGTACATTACTATTTGAGGAAAGCTCCTAGTTCTACTGCATTTTCCTATATTTGTTTTGTTTTGTTTTGGTTTTCTGGTTGTGGGACTTGAACTCAGGGCCTGGGCACTGTTTGTGAGCTCTTTCACTCAAGACTAGAGCTCTACCACTTTGAACCAAAGCATCACTTCCGTTTTTTGAGTGGTTAGTTGGAGGTAAGAGTTTCACAAGGATTTTTCTGCTCAGCCTGGCTTTGAATCGCTATCCTCAGATCTTAGCCTCCTGAGTAGCCTGGATTATAGGCATGAGCCACTGGTCTGGGCCAGGCAGAGTTTTATAAAATGTGTGCAAACTGACCTTAGTCTTCCTAACTGCCTCCCAAGTAGCAGGCATGTATCACCATACCTGAATTATTCTTGAGATAAGATCATATTAATTTTGGCCTATATTGCTTCAAACTGGAATCCTTCTGCTCCACATTCTGAGTATCTGTGATATAGGAGTATGCCACCATGGCTGGCTCATCTATATGCTTTGTGTGTGTGTGTGTTCATGCACACACACACACATGTGCACACACAGAGTACACATAGTGCACACACACTAGTCCTGGGCTGCTAAGTTTTTTAACTTATCAAAATGAAACATCTCTATCTTGTATTTTCTTTTTTTCTTTCTTCCCTCAGGGAAGGGAATAAGAAAGAGAAAAACCAAACTGAAATCTTCTTCATGACACCAGAACTTTTCTTCTCCGTTTCTTTGTCCAAAACCTATTTTTGGAGCTTCTGTAGCACTGCATTTCTAGGTCTTCCACCCCTGCTTCTATGCTGCAACCTTGTTCTTTAGTGCTAGAGTTGTATGTCCAGCTGAGAAGGCTACAACACAAGGGAAAGTTGTGGAGCTGAAGCAGGCCAATTCTTTGCTGCTTTTTCTGGTTTTATCTTTCCTAGTGTACTCTTTCTATAAACTAAAGTAGAATGGGGAAAGTAATTCTATTTTTCTCTTCTTCTTTGTATTTTCTGGTGTGGTAATGGAGATTAAACTCAGGCCTTACATATGCTAGATAAGCATCTACCACTTAAACCATGCTCCCATTCACTTTTGTTTTAGTCTGTCTTTAGCTTTGGTCTCATATGTTCATCCAGTGCAGCCTCTGACTGTGATTCTCCTAGCTATAATGCTCAAGTTGCTAAGATTACAGATTTGTGACACTATACTCTGCCCAAGGAATGCATCTCTTTATATTGTTGATACAAAAAATTGCAACTATGTCCTAGGCAAACTCCAAAGTGTTTGAAATAAAGTGAAAAAAAAAACAAAAAATAAAAAACAAAGCCACCTAGGGCTTGCAAAATCATACTCAGTACAATGAGTTAGAGGCAAACCACAGTGTGAAGTTTTATGCTACCAGTGGGAGAATTAAAGAGGAAAAAGGCTGAGGCATTATTTTGATGGTAATTGACATACAAACTGCCCAATTTCAGCACTAATTTAGTTCAGCAGTTTGCTTTTCAGTCAAACTTGGATATTCTCCAAAACATGTTAAGACAAGGCAAAACTGGTTCTAAAATAGTTTTTGCTTAAGTCTGCACATACCCTAGATAACCCTCCAGAGTGATTCGTAGTGCTAGCTGCCTTTCCTACCCTAGAATTTGGAAGGGTAAATTTCAAATATATTAAAGTCATAAAAGTTACTTTTACAATTTCTGGAAATAATGTGATAAAATGTTGTGGTATTGCAACAATACCCAAGAAAGTATCTTAACAAAAGCAAAACCCTACTCTTGACTATGATATATGTCATATTGCTCAGTGCATAAGGTAGGTCTTGTACAGTGGTAGTGCTCAAGGGGTAGAGCCTTCCTAGCAAGGACAAGAAACTCAGTCCAAACTCAAGTACCTTCCAAAAAGTAAAAATTTTAAAGTAGGCTACATTAAGTCTTCTAGTTTTCTTTCTTTGATTCAGAGTGGTTGGGTAATTCATATCCATATATGCATGGTATTCTAATCTTATA